ATATTAAATACTAATGTATTTGATATGCTCTAACATGCATGGTGCTCGCCTTCTCCGGGGGGAGAGCTGAAGCCAAGAGTCATCACAAGAATATGAGATTAGCGAATTTCCGGCTAGTCTAATACTCATTCTGTCCGCCGGTCACATTTACTTTTTAAGTTATTGTACTTAACATTGAAAATATTTTTATATTTGTATAATTTTTGTACAAATGTCTTTTTATTAGTATTATAAGACACTAATCAAAGTATTTTTGTAATTTTTTCTTAATTTGTACTTACGTTTTGATATAATAATTAATATTTAAAAATCAATATGCAAAAAATAAATAAAATCTTTAGAATGGGACGAATATAGCATTAATGAATTGTTGTTACTTTCTCTTTGTAAACAATAGACAAATATAGTCATGTTGACATGAATATATAAATTACGCTAGTGGATCATACATGTAGCATATATTAATATAAAAATATATATTTGTATAGTACATATGTAAATGTATATAATATTCCTTTCGTCTCACATAATTTGTCCTTATTTTTCATTTTTGTCTGTCACATATAATTTGTATTATACACTTTAATCACTTTTTAATTTTTAAATTTTAATTGAATTATTCAATTATCTTAATCTTAATTTATAATTATTTTTACTATACAATAATTATATTTACTAATACACTTTTTAATTATTTACTAATAATATTATACCTAAATTCTCGTATCTACGGTAATATGTCCATGTTAGATGGGACTGGGGAGTATATTGTTTAAAGTCTTGTACCAGTAGTTTATTTTTTATATGATTATTTGATTAATTCTAATTAATATTTTAAACTTTCTTTATACAATATTTTTAAAATTTTGATACTACTTATTTTTTTTAAAAAATATAATTTTTTTTTTAAAATAATAACATCAAATAATCATTCCTCAGACATGATTAGCTAAAAGAATTTAATCAAAATTTCTAGTAAATGATATCTATAGGATTCGTTTGTTTCTTAGAGCTCAACTGAGTATTTATTTTGTAATTTTCTTATGTATTATATATATATATATATTAAATATAAGAAAATTAATATTTTATATTAAAATTATTAACTTTTTATAAGATATATTCTTTCTCGGTCTAATTAAGAGTAATTATATTTTTTTAATAAGAATAATTATATATTTACTTTTGTCTAATTAAGAACAATTATATTTTTTCAATAAGAATAATTATATTTACTTTTGGCACAGATATATATATATATAAAGGATATTATGAATAAAAGATACATACAACACGTACTTCTTTCTCAAACTAACACGTGTGTTATGTAAAATAAAAACATGTGTTTGAGTATACTTATAATACGCGATGTACATGAGTATATCATATGCTAAAACCAACTGTTATATTTATATAATGTAATGTTACTTCATATTTTGTATTTATATTATCTTAATATATATAATGTGTTGTTTATAGCAATATCGTTTGTTATTTATTAGCACACAATGTGCTGTAAACACTGTGAATTTTACAGCCGCCTAAGAAATATTGTATTATATAGTAATAGTTAGTGTGTGTTTTGACTAACAGATAATTTTACACTTACAATCTTTTTTGGTCTTTTAATTGATTTTTTTCAAGTTGAATGAAATAGTCAAAAAAAATTAAACATAATTAAAATAGTAAAATTATTTAATTATTACAAAAATAATTAAAATTACGCAACAAACAAAAACTTTGCATAGAAAACATAAACTAAATAAAATGTTGTCTTACGAAATATTAGTATTTAATATATCTGAACTAAATTAATTGAAACACATGACGAAATATATAAAATTTAAAATTCGGTGGACATTTTGTACTATACGGTCTTTCCAACATGTTATTAAAATTTTTAACGAAAATAAAGAATGGATTAAGGTATCAAATCAAAACAATACATATTGCAAAATAATAATAATAATAATAATAATAATAATAATAATAATAAATAACACAATAATTCTTCATTTTTATATATTGAAATTTTTGTTGAGTAGAAAAAATTAGTGAATTAAATTTTTATCAAATCGAAATGTAGATAAATTGCTACGCAATAGAAAATAGCATAATCATCAATCAATTGTAACGGAGATTGCATATTTGATTGGAAAATATGAATTACTTTGTTTTCCTAAAAAAGTCCCCAAAAAAAAAGTTCAATGAACCGAGTAGTTGGGACATTAGTGACAAAATCATTGGAATCAATTACAAAAGAAGTTACATAGAAGGTTTTAATCGATAAGGTACTTACATTTCATATTCCAACGAGTATTAGAATATCTGTAAATTATTCTCAAAATATTTTCATCATCGAGTAAAGCATCACGTAAGTAAATCTCCTATATAAAAATTGCATGCATAATTTATATTGATTATTGTATTGTAGGTGATACCAGAAATTCGGGACAAATGACCGGTTAATAAAGTGTGACACCCTGGCCTACAAGCCACGGGAAGCCAGTTTTCCAGGGTGCGCGTGAGTGAGGACAAAAGCGTACTGGAAGGGCTTGTGTTGACCTCTGGGGCCAGTCTACGACATCTCGCCACACTCGGTTTTGCGTGGCTTGCGGGACGGGGTGTCACAATTGGTATCAAAGCTGACCTGCGACATCCCGCAGTCGTTGACCAGACTGTTGACAGGCCTAGCAGTTGATGGATGTAATACCCCCGGAGTTGAATAGTGAAATGAGTTGGGGAGGATAAAATACCCTTGAGGTTGAATAAGAGGTTAAATGGATTGAATAAACTACTCATGTCAATAGTATGCACATTTTTTTTTGGGATTCTTACTAAAAGAACTTTATAAATAAGCACGCTTGCCCTAGAGTAATTTGAAAATGGGTGACCCATTGGGAATCCTCCTAGGGCGGGTATGAATGAGGACAGAAGCGTATTGAAGGGGATCGTGTTGACCAAGCTAACAAGGAATGATTCAACTTCAACTTGGTATTTCAGCCACCAAACAATTCGGGACCATTACACATCACATTGTGATTGCATCATTTATTTAGTAAGCCTCAGAAACAAAAAGTACAACACACACACAAGTAACAACCTATTTGGAATCGATTCAAGATAAGAAATCAAAACAATTTTAAGGATTAAGCTAATAAAAGGACAAACACAGTACAACCAAGAAGGACAAAACATTTTTAGCTCAACATATTCAGGAAGAGTCAAGGTCAGAGGACAATAAATCCTAAAGAACATTAGCTTAACCTCTCAAAGTACAACGAGGGGCAACGTTGTCGAAATTCTTGAGCCACCACCACTAAAGCGACTTTCAATTACCAAATAAGGTAACTCAACTCATTCTCGAAGTCCGACACAACCAAATCATCATATATGCCACATATTTCCGGCACTATCAAAACCAGACATGAATAACACGAGGAAAGTAAAGCATCGAACAATTTAGACATAAAATAAGAAATATCAGGATAAACCTCACTGGAAAATAATCCACCGGTTTCCGGCACCGCATATATATCGAAATTGGGGTCGAAAATCAGCGCATCGAACTCCGACATTGACAAGTTATTACTCGGAGCACGGACAAAGGGAAATACCATCAACGGGTGGCGCAAGAGTTTTCGGTTGTGACCGCGCCACGGCACTAAATGATGTTCCATCGAGATTTGCCATCAAAGAACACATTGGGGAAGAAGAGTAGACACAATTAGGATTTCGAGTTGGGGGAGGGGCAAGGGAGATAGATCGATTGGTGGGGATGGGGTTGAGGATTTGAGATTAAGTTTTGTATTTTAGATTTTAATTTTATTTAAGGGGAGTGTATTCAATTTAGATTATGTAGGATTTAGTTGGACTTTAGGTGTATTCAATTAAGACTTTTAAAAGTCTTTTTAAAATATATAGGTATTCAATCAAGACTTTTAAATTTTTTTTAAAATCTGAAAGTATTTAATGCAAGATTTTTAAAAGTTTTTTAAAATCTCGAAGTATTCAACAATCCGCAAACTTTTAAAGTTTATGAATTTTAATGGAAAATTGTAAAAATCTTGTATATGATAGAATTTCTCCTGCTCATCGTTGTTGTATAGATAAATAATATGATAATATTTATTAATATTACTATAATTTTTAATAAAAATAATAATTTAAAACCCGTACATATATTCGTTTCCGTTTTTCAACATTATTTTTCAATTAAAATTTTCTAAAATAATAATAAAAAATAAAAAATATTTTATACAAAAGTCAAAAAATCAAAATACTCATTATGAAAAATAAAAAAATTTATTACAAAAAAAATTAATATAAAATATATTAACACACTTTTCTTCTCTATATCACATACCAAAAAATATTCATCTGAAAAAATTGGGGAATGAAACAATAATTTCAACATACATGTTTTTTTCTTTGTAATCTTAATTATGTTTTAAAATCATAAACATGAGATATGTTATTTATATTTTACTCTTAAATAAATAAATAAATTTATATGTCATTTAAAATGTCTTATTTTACAAATTAGTTTATATTAGTTATATATATAACTATATATTTTTATTTTTATATAGATTACATAATATGGTTGTAATTTAAAATGAAATGTTGATTTTTGATTTTATTTAAAATATTATTTAAAAAGAAATATTATATTTTTATTGAAAACTGTAAATTATTATAATATTAATTTTGATTTGAAATGCTAAAAAGAATGAATTCATTAAATTTTGTATAAAAAAATAATATTTAAAATACAATTTAATTATTTAATCAAATATATATTTTAGTGTAAATATTAGTATTATTTATTAACAAATATATATTTAACCGAACATCCAACTATAATTTCCATCAATATATTTCAAATAGAAAATAAATTTAGATATATATTTTATTATTGTTTTTTCAAAAAGAATGATGAATTACTATTATGCCATTGGAGTTGAGTTGAGTGGGCAATAATTTAGTGTTAAAAAAAAAAGAGCAAATGCAAAAGCGAAAGCAGGGAAGGGCCTAGCGTCGAAACCCTCACTCACTTCGAAACCGAGACTGCACTTTCCGATGTCATCGCCGCCGTCGCCGACGATGGAGTCTCTCGTTCTCCACCTCCACGACATCGCCGCTGTTAAGTTCGGAAACTTTAAGCTCAAATCGGGAATCTCCTCCCCTATTTACATCGACCTCCGCCTCATAGTCTCATACCCTTCGCTCCTCCGCCAAATCTCCCAGACTCTCTCCTCCACCCTGCCCTCCTCTGTCCACTACGATGTAGTCTGTGGAGTTCCCTACACCGCCCTTCCCATCGCCACTTGCATTTCCGTGTCGTCGGATATTCCCATGCTTATGCGCCGGAAGGAGATCAAGGACTACGGCACCGCCAAGGCTATTGAGGGGGCGTTCGAGCAGAATCAACTGTGCCTTATTGTCGAGGATCTCGTCACTAGCGGCGCTTCGGTGCTTGAGACCGCGGCGCCTCTCCGTGCGGCGGGGCTGAAAGTGACGGATGCCGTTGTTATGATTGACAGGTGAATACATAAGCTCGCATTGTTTCGTTCCAGTTTCTGGTGAAAATGGTAAATTATGAATCAGTAAGTTCAAGTATTGCTCAACTAGTTTGAACTGTCATAATCGCGATTGTTTGGTAATGATCTGCTTATTATGTGGCTCCATTATGTTCGTTGTTTCATGAATCTGCATGTTTTGTATACTGTCCAAATCAATCCATGTGCTGTGTTATTTGCTGTGCTGTTGTAGGGGAAATGCTATGCGCCTATGCCATTTATACCCAACTGCACTTGCCTGGTTGTGACCTATGGCATTGCCCATTATGTTGTATAGAATGAGCTTTGAGGCTGGAAGTTTATTTTCCAGTGGGCGTTCTTTAGCATAAAATCAAAAAAGTGCTTGGTTAGTTTTTTCATCAGTATCTGATAGCACGTGAATATGAAAATAAATTACTGTCTCTAATTTTCTTTTTCTTTTTTTCTGGAAGAAATTAGAAGCAGGTAATTTTTAATTGTTGGATGTCAGCCTGTGATCCAGAAATTATACTCTGTGTTATGCAATTCAGTCATACTATGCCAGAAGCGAACTAACTGTACTGGATGTCTGGGTTTCGGATTTTAATGCTATTCTCTTGATTTTCTTTTCGGTGTCTTGTAAAATGACATAAGCACTGAAGCATTTTCCATTTAGTGTTTTCATGATTAGGCGGTATCTAGTTTGTTACTACTTTATATTTATTGCTCCATCATTACTAGTGAAAATGGGGTATGTTTTGTTGGTTGTTATGCAAACACAATGATGTTACATTATCCTTGATGTTTACTTGATATGGAACGTCTGCTTCTGCAAGCTTCATAGTTGTTGGAATTTTTACACATTCTTGATTCTTGTCTATGATTTGACAAAAGGGAACAAGGAGGGAGGGAAAATTTGGCAGAAAATGGAATCACACTTCACGCCATGGTTAAGCTGACAGAAATGGTGAAGATATTGAAAGAGAAAGGGAGAGTATCAGAGGAGACAGAGAGAATGGTCATGAAATTCTTGGAAGAGAATCGAAAGGTGTCAGTACCATCATTGGCTGTGACTGAGAAGGCCAAAGTTAGACTTCCTTTGGCGGAGAGGGCAAAGTTGGCAAAGAATCCAACAGGAAAGAAGCTATTTGACATTATGGTGCAGAAAGAGTCTAACTTGTGCTTGGCTGCTGATGTTGCTACGGCTGCGGAGCTGCTTGACATTGCTGAGAAGGTGAGTAGTGTAACAAATAAATACTGGCTCTTTTGCTTTCCATCCATCCATCACCTTTATGTGTAAAAAGTTTCTATCCATCTACTGATAGAAATCCAGTTAGTTAATTCAGTTGCATCCGTTCCTTCCCTTTGGAGGTCCAATCAAGATATGCAAAAGACCTTACCTTATTGGTTGGATTTATAAACCAAACCGTTGCAGTTACAACAGAGAAATTTCTTAACTTTGGAGGCTTCTTGAGAAAATGTGTATAATATTCAGTTCATTTGAAGCAACTATTATTAATGTCTCTGCCATCAATATAACAGTTTATTTTGGAGCTAAAGTACAACCTAAAAAGCAGGAAATTCTTTTGACACTTTGTATACTCTTTCTGAAGGACTTCTAACTAACAATAACAAGAGTGTAGGTGCTTGATTAATTTATTTAGTTTCTTGTTTAAATTCTTCTGGCATCGATCTTTTTGATACATTGATATTCACAGATATTGTTGTACTTCCTTCATAGGTTTCTTCAGCTAAGCTGTGAATTTGTGAAGATGCAGTTTTTCCCAATGACCTTTCTGACCCTTTGGTTTGATGCTTCTGCAGGTTGGGCGCGAGATTTGCATGTTAAAAACCCATGTTGACATATTACCTGATTTTACACCTGATTTTGGATCTAAACTTCGCTCGGTATGTTCTTGTTTTTCTAGTACTACCATGACTAGTATGCATATCCATATGGGATGCTATTATCTTTAAAGATGAAGAGCAGTTTTAGCATACTGTCAGGAATTTCTGTTTTACAGATCCTTTGCGGATGAGATTTAATTGCTTCTCCCCGTCAACATTTAGAAAGTGCTTTTTACCTCTCTGAAGGGAAATAACATGTGAAAAAAATATTATGCCATTCTTTGTTGCCAAGCATACTGCCATATTCATGTCAATATAGGCCAAACAACCTTTTCCAGTGCAAAGTTTTGAGCGTTGAATATATATCCCAGTTAATTTTAGAATATGAGAGAATCAATTAACTTTGACTCACTTCTGCCCATGTGCTGAGTGCGCTGGTTGGATGTTTGTTAGTTTATCCTTTTAGATTGTGATCTCATAATAGAAGATCATGCCTAGGAGGGTTTATTGTTAGCAAACTACTTATCTACAAACTTTTTCTCAGCGGCAGACCTGTTGTTTGAAATTGTTTGCAATCTTTAGATCTGCCAGTCAAATATTCCTAGGGCTTTTTCTTTTTGTATTATAGTAGAGGTTACAGTTGTCACAATGCAACTGGCATCTTCCCTAGTACGGCAACACTTCTTCAGAAATGTCTTAATTGCTGGCCGTCTACTCAGTACGTTTATCAATTGTAGAGAGAGAGAGAGAGAGAGAGTTTAATTATCTATTCTTTTAGAAAGCGGTTCCATGGACATATTACAAATGAATAAATATGTTTCACGATATACTTCCTATTGCTATCGGTATCATATCAATACAGGGCTACGAGTAATTTCATTTGAGTGATATCTTATTAACTGAAGGAATCTGATGTAATAAATATTAAATACACATCCTGCTGCTCTACATTGTTTAAAGGTTGCTTATTATTCTGATCTTACTATACTTTTTATTTCTCTCTCCAACATTGTTAAATTTGTTAGAATTGTGCCCCATATGTCATGGAAAATGTTGAAGACAACTAATTGCACTTGCTTGTCGGAAGGTTGCAGACAAGCATAACTTCTTGATATTTGAAGATCGTAAATTCGCTGACATTGGTAACACCGTTACCATGCAATATGAAGGGTAAGAAGTTCTTCTTGGGTTGCTTTTGACTTGATTATTTTCATGCTTCCCTTGATAGTTCGAATCTGTTTTGTGCAGGGGTATTTTCCGTATATTGGACTGGGCAGATATCATAAATGCTCATATAGTTTCTGGACCAGGAATTGTGGATGGACTAAAATTGAAGGTGTGGATTGTAATTTTGTATGAGTTGAGGCCACACAAGATTGTCAATTATGTTGTTTCTATCGAGAAGTTCTATTCTGTTACAGGGTTTATCGCATGGCAGAGGCTTGCTGCTGCTTGCTGAAATGAGTTCCTCTGGTAACCTAGCCAAGGGTGATTACACAGCTGCAGCAGTAAAAATTGCTGAAGATCATCCCGATTTTGTTATTGGATTCATATCTGTCAATCCAGCTTCATGGCCTAGCGGGCCGGGCAATCCATCCCTTATTCACGCAACCCCCGGGGTTCAAATGGTGAAAGGTGGAGATGCTCTGGGACAACAATACAACACTCCAAATTCTGTAAGCAGCAATTACATTCATTTTTCTTTGTGGTCACAAATGGAGAACAAAGCAAAACAAAAGCTGTTGTGGTTGGGTTGGGAAACGAGTGTGTTTGTTTAGCGTTCTTAGTTTGAAGTGCTTTTTATGTTTAGGTATAAGGAAACATATCGGTAATATAAAAAATATTTTGTGTTGAACTATGGACTGTTTGTTAATGAAGAGAGTATATATATATTGTGTGGATGTATATATATTAATTGAGAAGCGGGTGAACACAGTTTCAATACTCTTAATTCATTTTTAATTTACATAGTTGAAGTTTCAATCCTAAGTGTCTGTTTTGAAATGTAGTATTTGATGGATATAAATTGATGTTTGATGTAATATTTGGAATGTTTTGTAATTTGTATTGTCAGTCGGTTCATCCCTGGTGATTCTGATTAGAAGTGTGTGGTGTGGCATGGCATGGTTTCAGGTGATTGGTGAAAGAGGCAGCGATATCATTATCGTTGGGCGTGGAATTATAAAGGCGGCAAACCCTGCACAAGTGGCTCGGGAATATCGTGTTCAAGGATGGGAGGCTTACTTGGCCAGTTGCAGTTGCAGTAGCAAGTAAGTTAAATCTTTCTAACATGTTCTTAAGACCATATCTGATAATGAGCTGCCTGCTTCTTGTTTGCCTTGTGTTGTTGACTGGCTAAAATAATTTTGGTTATGTTATGACATTCATTTCATTGAAGCTTTGATTTATTAAAACCAAGTTTCTGTCTGGTTAACCAAGTACCTACCTACATAATGATACGATACGATGCTGCTTGTAATTGTAATTCTGTGTCTTGTCATTTTTTCATTTTGATTCGTCCCATAACAAAATATTTATTTTCTTTTTTAGTATATATTACAAATATCTTTTCAATTTATAATATATTATACAAAATCTATAATATTGCCACCACTTTGTGCAATTGAACAAGTAATCAAGCCAAGCCACTTTTCCATTATAACCAATTATATTTGCCATTACATTATATTCTATTTGTTATTAAAATTTATTCTTTTTTTCTTTTTTAGGTTTAGGTTGTCATAATATATATATATATATATTAGTTTTTTTTTTTTTTTAGTGAAAAAATTAGGGTTAATTCTTCTAAAATCTCTACATCACAATATATTTTCTTGTTCAGTCCTTATATACTATTTTATTCCTAGTAACTACCTGCACATTCCTAATTACTCTTTATTTGTAAATTTAACTTTAAAATTTCTATTATACCCTTTATATATCTTTTTATTTATTAGATTATCATATTCTCACATGAATTCCTAAAATTTTTTATACTAACAGTGTGTTTGTTTGAGGATTTGGATTCTGAGTTGGAATTTGAATAGTAAAAATTTTGAATTTGAATGTGTTTGTTTGGGGGTTTGGATTTTGAGTTGTGATTTAAATAGTAAAAATTTTGAATTTGAATAGTTGTATGACCTGATATAAATAGGTATTGATGTGATGTTTTGAATGTAAAATTAATTTTTAGTATAATATAAAAAATGAAAAATAATTGTTAGATTTGATGTTTTTGGGATAAAAAAATTAAATGAATAGTGTAAATTCAATCCAATCCCCAAGCAAACACACCCAAGAGTGTTCTTTTGGAAGTTTATCAGGATTTTAACTATTTATTCAAAAAAAAATTTCAAAACATCAAATCAAATATCTATTTTTTATTTTTTATATTATACTATTAAAAATTAATTTTACATTCAAAATATTACATCAACGCCTATTTATATTACATTATACAACTATTACATTTCAAATTTTTTACTATTCAAATCTCAACTCAAAATTCAAATCTTAAAACAAACATACCTTAAAAATATATAAATAAGGATATAACGGTCGGACTGTGACAAATTTTAACGGAGTGAGTACAAATTAGAAGGGGGGCGAGTTGTGCAATATTTTTCAAGCCAAAGGTAGGTTTTATGAATTTTAAAATCAGAGGGGTTTTCAACAAATTTTATAAATCACATGGAGATTTTATGCTATTTTGTCTAAATTGTTTGATATATTTATATAGCGGATGTTAATAAATACTCCATTCGTCCCAACTAAATGTACTTATTTTATTACTTTCGTCTATCTCATTTAAAAATATAAATTTTCTATTATAGTAAAAGTAATCATATATAAATATTAAAATACTCATAATTTTTATAAAATATTAATTTCTTTCGTACTTATAAGGGCAAAAATATCAAAAAAAATATCTTACACGCTTCTATTAATATATAATAGTATGATTGTTTTTTAATATATTACACAAAAATAAATATATACATCTGATTGAGATGAATGAAGTATATATTAAAAAAGCTAAATTGCACAAAATCCACTTATGGTTTCATGAAATTGCACCAAATCTCCAATACTTCTAAAACTGCGTCAAACTCCTTCGTGGTTTCATAAACTTTGCGTCTAACCCCCTCAGTAGTCCTTTTTTTGACAGTATTTGACCTAAATGCGCTCAAATTATGAATAAATTTTACAATCTCAATTTCTAAACCCCTAAAATTATAAATATATTTATTTTTTATATATTTAGTCTAAGAAAAACAGTAAAAATAAATTCTTAAAACCTGAGAAAAATAACTATTTTTGAGTATATTTACTATTTTTTTAGGGTAAATATATAAAAAAATAATTATATTTGTAATTTTAGGGATTTATAAATTGAGATTTTAAAATTTATTCGCAGTTTGAGTGCATTTAGGTCAAATAATGTTAAATAAGGACCACTGAGGAGGTTAGACGCAAATTTTATGAAATCACAAGCGAGTTTGACGCAGTTTTAATAGTATAGAGAATTTGGTGCAATTTCACGAAAACATGGTGGATTTTGTGCAATTTAGCCTATTAAAAAATAGAAATATTTAGTATGATTGTTAAGCTGCTAAAATATATTTATTACTAAAATTATATCACTTATGTCTCATTTAATTTGTCCATTATTTTCATATCCGTCAGTCTCACATAAATTGTCTATTTCTATTTTCGAAAATATAATTATACACTTTAATCATATTTTAAAATTTATAATTTATATATATTTTTATTTAAATTAAACTATTTAATCATTTTAATTTTAATCTATAATTATTTTTATTATATCATAATTATTTTTACTAATATATTTTTTAATTACTTATTAATTACATTCTATCTAAAATTTCGTGCACACAGTAAACAAATTGATTGGGATGGAAGAAATAGTAACCATGGAATTTTTAATATAAAAATTTTATAGATAAATGACCATACTCTTTCACACCAATTAATTTTTAATATTTAATGGTATGAGTGAAATGTAGATTTATTGATTGAATAGTTTTACTAAATTATGAATATAAAATCATGATTGATAAATATATTTAAATGTTTGTATAGTATTTTGATTTGAAATTTTTATTTTGATACGAGGTATAGAAAATTGTGTCGATAATATAAAAATGATGTTTTATATTTAATGTTGACTTCTATGAGAGAATAAAATATATATATTTAAAATCGTGTCGGAAAAAAAATTGTGTGAATAAAATCTAAATGTAATAAACAAATATCATAATATATGTATATATATATATATTATTTTATTCCTTTAATTAGAATTACATGAGGAATTTGTTTATACTATTTATCTATATTAATAGTATATTTCAATATTTTTTTGAAAACAATATTTATATTTGTAAGACAATTTTGAGTATTATAATTTTGATCTTATTGTATTTAAACATACTCTATTTATTTACACAAAAAACAACTATTTTACTCCATCCGTCCCATTTATTTTGTCCCGTTTAACTTAGGCATATAATTTTAAATATTATGTAAATAGTAAATAATTAAGAAGTGTATCAATGAAAATAATTATGAATTAACAAAAATAATTATAGATGAAGATTAAGATGACTAAATAGCTTAATTAAAATAAAAAAATTATAAATTATGAATTTTAAAATGTTATTAAAGTGTATAATTATATTTTAAAAAAAAATAAAAAATTATATGAGACAGACAAAAATAAAAAAAGTTAGACAAATTAAATGAGACGAAATGAGTATTATTTTTAGTAGTTCAAACAAAGTTTGTTGAACCAATTTAAAGAGAAAAATAAAATCTACATGATTTTTTTATTAATATTACAAATATATATATATATATATCTATAAAAGTTCAGTCGCATAACAAATATTCTTACAATTTACAATATATTATACAAATATTATTACTTTTATATCATATAATACTAATAAGGTTATTTTAGTCGTTTCTACTTTATTTCCACTATATATCAATATAATAATAATATACATAAAATTTCGTACAAAAAGTAAATGAATATCTAGTTAAGGAACGAAGAGAAAATTAAACAAACACGCTCCATATATCAATTTTTCTATTTTGACATATCACAAATATTCTTAGATTTATGGTTATTAACGTTGATATTACTATATAAAATTAAAATAAATTAGCAAAATAATAATCCATCCGTCCCAAATCAAATGAACTATGATATTATTTTATTAGTATATTTTTGTATGAATACTGTATTATTGATAGTTTTAATATATGATTAAAATAAATTTACAGTATTTTAAATATTACTATATATCAATAAAATATACACAAAATGGATATTATTTCGTAGAAAATAAAATTTTAAATAATACAAATAAAAATATATATATTTATTAATTTATAATTAAGATAAAAATAATTTTATATAAAAAAAATAAAAGTTTTAAATATACATAAAAATATTTATTTATGAAGGAAAAATATAGAAATAAAAGCATTTTGCTTGATGTATTATGTTATATATTATCAAATAAATTAAATTAATTTATATTTGGTAAGCATATGTAGATTTAGTAAAATTTACTAAAGATAGAAACGTGTGTCCGATGAAGTAAAACATCCGATGAAGTAAAACAGACAAAAAAATAAAAAAAAATTGAAATAGAAAAAGTATTAATTAATGAATATATTTATATTTTATTTTTCATTTAAAATATTACAAAAAACGCTTATTTATAAAATTAAAATTTTACTATTTATAAAATATAACAAATAAATAATAATACTACTAATAACAATTATTATTATTATAACCATTATATAATATATATTTTATAAATAATATTATATATAATAACATAATATTTTATATTATGGTGGGACCCATAAAACATTTTTTTTTAAAAAAAAAAAAAAAAATCAAAGAAAATTACACGATAAAAATAATTGTGTTATCTTTCGAGCGGCTCCTATAATTGATTTCTAAGCGTAGACTATTATTTTTTGAACATGTTTAGGAATATTGTATGTATATACATACCTAATCACTGTATATTTTCAAAAGCACAAAATCCAAATACCAAAGAAGAATGGGAGTAACGACTCTGTTTCTTTAGATCAATTTTTTCAAAATTTATTACGTTTTTTTGAAAAAAATATATATATTTTTTTTTCACAAAATATCCCATCAAATATTATTTTAATACCAAACTCAAACAAAAGAAACACACCTTACGACAAATATTCCATGTTGGACTTGATATTACGAGTATCTTCACCCGACATCGGAAACCTGGGTGGCTTGAAAAGCTTCCACATCCCGACCGGATGTCGACTTCGACTTCTAAATACACCGAATCTACCGTACATTTTCTCGCATTCCGGATACGCCTTAACATACATATCGTAGAATCTCGACCGGCTAAGATTCACTATGTTTCTCAACCACACCTCGTCCCGCATCTTCAAGAACTCAATCACATTCCACCGAGGAACAATTCGCTTATCAAAGCTCACGCCTAAATACTCGGGAACTTCAACCAAACACTGCACCTTCAACTTCATCTTACCGACCAAAAACTCAATCTTCTTCTCGATATCTTGTGTTTCATACAGAACCGCCCTCGGCTCCTTCCACAACACCGTAAATGCATCTCTATATGTCAATCCACACCGCCTCAAACACTCGACTCTCAGCTTCACTTCATACCCGGCTCGAATCTCCCCATCCCGACATATATTCGCCTTGATCGCCTGCCGACATTTTAAGGACCTTAGCATTTCGAGGCAATGCGAAAGCTCCCCATTCTCGAAGCCAAGGATTTTGGGGTTCCTAACAACCTCTTCCCTAATTTCATTCAAGCTAAACCCTAACACCCTAAATTCGTCGAGCAAGGGTTTCAGTCTGTTCTCGACAGAAAAGGATGCAATCGCCGGGAACAAACCGAATATCCTGTCGATATCTATTTTTTGAATTCCAATCCCCATCAAGAACTCCACCGTGTCCCGAATTCGATCCTCCCTTAACAGTATTGCTGTGGGAACAATATCTAGAATCCTAGTGATAGTGGTCTCACTGAATCCTAAAACCACTAAAGCCCTCACATGCTCAATGACATCACCCGGAGTCAATCCAAACCTTACAGAGATTTCTACAACATTCCTGATTGCTGCCGGCGAAATTTCATGAATCCCTAATCTCTCGACTTCCTCAGAGCTTTGAGTATGAATAAACTTGATCTTACTAAGGTAATTAGGGACTTCAGATGGCAAGAAACCGTACCTTTGGAAGATGACAATCAAATTCCTGCAATGCCTTCCTGGAGCTCCCGATATGGACTTAGAAGCCTGGTTTCTAAATCGAGGAATGGATTGGGATTTTGATGAATAGTGAAAGAAAGATCTGATGAAAATGTTTCGAACTGCCATTAGAACTTTGGAGATAGATATCAAGCTCTAATTCCTCTGCTGGAATTTAATTCCATTCTGTACAAATCACATTTACAGAAGTTAGTACTTCTTTATATATCAACATATTCAACAATATAAAACAACAAATGATCGATAGTTTAGTAAAAGTTCTATTATTGAACTACTATACATGTCAGTATAATTTAGGTCAACATCTAAAGTATCAACATAGAAAATAACTACAATCAATACATGCATATACAAACACAAGATTTTTTTTTAATTGTAAATTATTGAAGTAGCAACATTTCATTCTAACATAAAAAAAATAAAAATAAAAATAATAATAATAATAAAGAACACACACAAATCATTCTCATTTATGAAATTTAACAGATTGAACTAATGAGGGCATCTAAAAATTAGCATGACATTGATTTTTCCTTATCTATCATCACTGGATCTATCTCCCCATTAAAAACTTTTCGACTCCAAAACATGCCCATAAGATCATATGTATGTAAGTTTTAAATTAAGATCTGAAATATATACTATTATGTATGTTTTCAATAATGTTTGAAAATTATTAACATAGAGTGAGTACCTAGGATCTTGAATTACCAATTGCAAATAGTTCATCAATGCACAACCAAAAATTTAATCAAGGGATGTAAACTTATCTAATTAATTTTGGGTATATACATCATAAGTATGTAGTAATGCTGCTTGATTATACACATCCTAATTGAAATATAATCTAAAGTTGCAACACATCAAAATAAAACCAATGAAAATGCTTGAAATATTCCCAATATCTCAACCTTACTTCTTTTTTAACCTAAAAGTAAAAGAAAAGAAACTATAATGAAAGCCTGAAAATACAATGATCAGATCCATCCACATTAACATATCAAAACTACCCAACAGATTAATGCTTGAAATCTATCTTTAAAGGAACAGAATGAATAGGAATGCACAATCACACCTCCTAATTTATTCATCTATTCAAATACTTCATAAAACAAATCAAAATCACATTTTCTCATACTTCTTTTTCTTTAAACAGAGAAAATATGTATATAATCAAAATTACAACTGCATTAATGCAAAAACAGTCGCAACCGCCATTTGAAATCAAATCAATTCATCCATTGAAAATCTTAAAAAGCTTGAAAGCAGCAGCAGCGCCAGCAAGTGTAATTTTGTAATAATACTTGATTCTATTTTTAACATACGAATCTAAGGAACTTACCAGGGATTGTTGGCGCGGGAGACTTAGCAAGGGGCGAAGCTACACGGAGGGTCCGTCACCCCCCAAACACAGTGGTTGACCCTCAATCGCTTCGGCGGCAGGCAGCGGTAGAAAGGAGAAAAAAATGGGGAATATGAAGAAGAAAAAGGAAGAAACGGCAGCAGCAGTGCAGCGGGTGAGGAAGGATAAGGCCGGAATTAAGGAAGAACCGGAGATGGAAGAAGAAAAAACATTGAATTGAATGGAGAAGAAGACGGAGGAAGAACTAGACTTGCCCATTCGGTTTCGAACCGCCGGTTTGAACCGCCGGTTTTCCGGTTTTCGAACCGAAACCGTGTCCAAACCGAACCGAAGCCGCCGTTCTGACGGTTCGGTTTCGGTTTGTAAAAATTACAAACCGTGAACCGCCGGTTTACGGTTTGCACCGGCGGTTAATACAATCACCTGCGCAGGGGAGCAGACCGAAGAAGAAGAGGAGGAGGGAGGAGGAGAAGGAAAGAAAGAGAAGGAGAAGGAGAAGAAGGAGGAGAAGGAAGAGGGGAAACCTGGCGGTGGCTGGTGCGGCGGCTGTATCTGGGTGTGTAAATATTGATTAGGGTAAAAAGGTAAGATTGTCTTTGTGTGTATATTATATTTATATTTATTTTTTATAGATTTTAAATTTTTATAAAAATAAAATAAATATTAATAATTTAAATAATTATTAATATATTGAAAATTGATAATATTATAATATTAGTTTTTTTTTTTCATATTTTGCATTTTGTAATTTTTTATTATATAATTATATTTAATTAAAATTATTTTATTATCTATTATGCTAATATTATTATTATTTATTTTTTAATTTGAAATTTAATTTAATTATTAACTAAATTTATCATTTTAATTATTTTTATATAATAATCTAAATAATTATTTATATATATGATTTTTACATAATAAATAAATAATAAATATATCTAAATAAAATTAAAATTTAATTTAATTATTTTTAAATAAAATTCAAATATAGAAAAATATAAAATAAAAAATAAAAATAATATATATAAACCGACAGTTTTTAAATCAAAACCGTCGGTTTATAAACCGTAATCGAAACCGTCATTCGGAAGGTTCGACTTCGGTTTAATATTTTAACAAACCGTAATAAACTATTTGTAATCGTAATAGGCGATTTGAACGGTTTGGACAAGTATAAGAAGAACAGAAACGTTAAGGCGTGGGCAGTAAAATTAAATTAAATTTGATAATTTAAAGGTGCTATTATTACTTTTAAAAGATAAATAAACAAAATACTAATAAATTTTTTTTAATTTTTATTTTTTACTTTACTCGTCTAATAATATTTTTTACTTTACTCGTCTAATAAAATAAAATATATATTAATATATGTATATAAATATTATTAATTATTTTTAAATTTAAAAATATTACTGAGAGTTTGGGAAAAAGAAAATATTGCAGCATTGTTTGGGAGAGGCGGCAGCTACCGACTGAAAAATGGCTTTCTGCCTACCGCCTCATGCCAATGCCCGCTTTTCTTCCTTCCCCACACTTTGACTTCCCCACAATTTCGTGCAACATTCCAAATCCCAAAACTCCTCTCTTACATAAGCATCCGATCAATTGCCTGTCTGAAATCATCCGATTTGGTTTAATTTTTCTCTGCAACTCGATCGCCATGTCGATGTATGTATATATGTATATAACTTCATTCAATTGCAACTACTCCGTCGGATTGAGTTCATTTTCACGTTGAGATTTCGGAATTTCCTAACTTTTGGTATATGTTTTTCGTCTGGGAAATTATTCAGGTCCGAAAGTGAGGTTGCCCTGATTTGGGGATGAACAAAGATGTCTTCTGCGGCGGCTAAGGAGATGTCTCTGTCTATCGAGCAAGGAAGCGTGACTTCACGAGGTAAATTTTGTTTTCACTTCTTAAATCTTAATTACTTGTGTTGTTCGATTGACTTAATCCATCGATGGTTGGTTTGTTCGTAGATTCCGTGATTGTTTGTTTGATTGAAATTGCTGTTTACAATTGGTGCTTGAATTTAGATCTACACTGCACAACCAGTCTTAAGAAATTCATACAACTGCAGAACCATCGTATCGCTGTCGCTGTTCTTGCAACTACATTACGGGTAGACAAGAAATGAAAACATTGTCACTTCTATGTATATATGTTGTTAGGGAATTTTGAAATCGATCTTGTAGTTGCTGTTAAATGTATCTGATAAGTCATGTGAATCTTGAATTTTATAACTACAAACTTAAAAACAACAAAGTATGCTTGTTATATGTATGATCATCCCTTCACAACTCCCCTTATGTTGTCTGAACTGAATTAGAAGAAACTTAGGATTATCGATCCATGTCCTCTTTGAAAACGAATTTTATTTAAATAATATTGGCTAAATATTATAAATTTCACAAAATTGCGCAAAATCCTCGTGTTAAAATTGCGTCAAACTACTTCCATGTGGTCTCATAAACTCTTAGTCTAACCTCCTCGGTGAATTTTAAAATATTTTTCTAAACTTCTGAAGTTATAAAATATTCATTTATTAGCCTTAAAGAACAGTAAAAAAAAAAAACTTAATGAAACCAGTTTGTCGCAATTTAAAAGTAAGAGGGATTTCGTGCAATTTCGTCAAACAACAGGTGTATTTTGTGCAATTTAGCCGATAATGTTTGATATAATGGAGTAGAAATAGCAAAATATTGGATATAAACCAGAAAGAAACACACACACCAACACCCCTGTAGTTTCTTCATGTCATTTTTGTTGTGTTGGGTTTAGGTCCTCAAGAAAGGCTCGAGAGTCTGTTAGCCGAACCCGGTAATCGATTCTGCGCCGACTGCGGATCTCCCCATCCTAAATGGGTGTAAGTCTCTTGTTTCTAAAATTAACATTTAGTCGAGTTCCTAATCTTATCGCAACGAGCTTGTGACGCTTTATCTCTTTTTTTTACATATTGCCCGCCCCGGAAAGATCGTTGAGCATCGGAGCATTCATTTGCATAAAGTGTTCTGGCATCCATAGAAGTCTTGGAGTACATATAACCAAGGTTTTGTCTGTTACTCTCGACGAGTGGACCGATGAGGAAGTCGATGCTTTAGCGAAGATCGGAGGAAACACAGAGGTAAACATGAAGTACGAAGCTCACCTTCCGGAAGATTCTGCTAAGCCAAAGCCCAATTCGTCCACAGAGGAACGTGTCGATTTCATAAGGTATTTGTTACTACATACGTACGAGAGCTTTTACATAGTTTTCGAACTTGATCAATTAAGTTTTGACCGACGGACTGTGCAGGAGAAAATACGTGCTGCGACAGTTTGTTAACCCCAATTCGATGCACTCGACGACGTCGACATCCCCGTCATCCTCATCCGGTTCAGACTCTCCGAGCTCTTCACGAATGCGTGTTCAGTCCCGTATACGGAGTTTAGGTCACGCGTTTCGTAATAGCTGGCGAAAATCGGAGAACAAGAAGGATTTTAATTCGACGGTTGATGTCCTAACTTCTTACAGAAAAGATGGAAAACTTGACTGCTCTAATTAAGGTTTGTTCGACGTTTGTTAACCGTTTCAAATGGGCATTGGTGTTGTGTAGGCGGGCATGGTGGAGTTTGTCGGGTTGGTTCATGTCAATGTCGTTAAAGGGACCAACTTAGCTGTCCGGGATATGGCGTCGAGCGATCCGTATGTTGTCCTCTCACTCGGGAATCAAGTAAGTCCTCTGCTAATCATCCTTGATGGTACAATCACCTTACCGTGTACTACTTGTATTTAGGGATGGCATAACGTACCGTACCGAAAATACTGAACTTTTTGGTATGGCGAAAATACATATCAGCACCGCACCGAAAGTTTTAATAATTTCGGTATATTGGAACTTTCTGTATGGTACCGGTATATGCCGTTTATACTGAAAAATTTTGATTTCGGTACGATACCGGTATATATCGCTTATACCGAAAAATTTGATTTCGATATGATATCGATATACACCGATAATACCAAAAATATAATTTTATATTTCAAAATAATTAAAAAATTTAATAACTATCATCATTCTCCACCACAAAAATATTATGAAAAAATCAATAAATTTTCAATAGTCTACATATTTTTTGTTATGATTTTAAAAAATTAATAATTATTATTTATATTAATAATTAAATTATTTAATAAAAATTATATCGATACTATATCATATCGAAATCCCGAATTTTCCGAAAATTCATATTGATACTGTACCGAAAACTTCAATACGATATACCGTACTGAAATTTTTGATATTTTCGACATGATACGGTATGATAAATCGGTATTTCGATACGTTCGGTAAATTTCTCCATCCCTAGTTGTATTTACGCCGTTGCCTGCAGACGGTGAAGACCCGAGTCATCAAAAAGAGTTTAAACCCTGTGTGGAACGAGACATTGATGTTGTCGATTCCCGAGAATGTTCCTCCGCTGAAGCTGGTAGGCTAGGCTAGGCTTCTTTGGTTCGATATATACATTATCTATCGCCGGAATTCATGGCCGGGTTTTGGAACAGGCGGTGTACGACAAGGACACATTCTCGCGAGATGACTTCATGGGCGATGCGGAGATCGATATTGGCCCAATCTTGGACGGGAACAGGACCAGGAGGATGATGAGGGTGGGGCTGCAGAACGTGGAACCGGGGGGAGCTTGAAATCGAGCTCGAATGCGTCCTCCTTACACAATAATTAGTAATACTGATTACTCCATTAAACAAGGCCTAAATGTACGTACGTTGTAATAAGTTTTGACCTTGACAAATATATATATTGAGGAAATTAATTTTCGACGACTTCTTTAGATAATACTAATACTTTCAAACCTCAACTTTCCACTATTTGGACTCTGCGTTTTCAAAAAAAAAATAATTATTTTTTTCTTCCACAAAACATTACATCATACTTTTTTTAATATGAAATCCAAACCAAAATCTTTTCAAATTTATCTAAAGAAACGTACCTTAAGTTGCATTGAGGATATTTGTGGGGAGATTAAAAACATTAGTATAATGTCCTAACAGATAACGTATGATATTATTATTGACAATACATATTATAGTTTTATACATATGTAACAATTTATTTAGCATATGATATACTTTTAGGAACAAATAGCACAGGTCTTTATTACAAATCGTAAATTGAGTTTAGCACATGATATATTTTTATACAGCATACGTTGTAATTATGAATAAATACAAATAACATGTGCAATTTGTAATAAAGATATGCATTAGGTTTTATGTTTTACGTATAATGATTTGGAAATAAACACGGTGCTAATTTTTCGTAACCCTTGCATATAAAACATAATAACAATACAAATATTTGTGTTGATATAATACAACTATAGCATATAAATTTATATCATATGATAATTATTCATACATATATATTATCATAAAATTTAGTAAAATAAATAAATAAATATATATATCCTTTCAGTATATTTATAAGTATGAATAATTGTTAACATATAGTATTAATTTGATATTCGATTTCTTTATGTGCTG